TTGAATCTGGTCTTATCACATGTCATCCTCTCCCTTTTCTCTTGAGGAACACGATCACCGACCACTCTAAGGTTTCATATTTCACTTCTCCTGATTCTTTAAGTGGGGGATCCGGAAGAAAACCCCCTAGCTTCAGGTTTGGAAAGACCCTCAACAACTCCTGGGTTTTCACTCCCTCATACTCTCGCAGTCTCTCCACCTTTCTTTTGCACCTCCACATGTCCAATTCCACCCCAAACCGCCACTCGCCTTGACTACTTATACTCTCCTCCCAAACTGACCCAAACTGCTGCTCGCCTTGACTACTTATACTCTCCTCCAAAACTGACAGTTCTTGCTCCTCCCCCTTCCGACTCCCGCTCTCCTCTACCAGACATATTTCCATCTTCCCCTTTCTTTTGACTCCCTCTCTCTCTTCTTCCTTAGTCATGTTTTCCCTTGAGTCCAACTCTACACCAATACTCTCCTGTTCCGATCCTCCCACTACACCCTCTGTCTTGTGAGAAGGCACACTCTCCTTCGGACCTCCTTCACAGCATCCTTACCAATTATATAGATCTGATCACCCTTCCTTAAGACAGTCTTCCAGATGTTTTGGACAAGAATTCCTATCAGACCCAGCCAGCATGCTTAATGGAAACACATGCTGGGAATTTTAATGCCAGAGAGTTGCACATCCATTGGGGAAGGCTACTTTAGCTCATTTTACCTTGTATGTAGAACTGTTGCCTCTTGGCCTAAAAAAGATTAAAATGTTTCATGCTTTGAGTCATGGAAATCAAAGGTAGCAGACCCCACTGAGTAGCTGTGCAGTTTGTTCAAATACTAACAAGCCTTCCCTGCATCAGCACGCTAGACAGACTTTAACTTTCCAATATAAGAAAGTGAAATGCCGTAACATTAAATGTCTTCTCATCCTTTTTTATAGTAATATTTTCGGATGGCATCACCCAGTCCTACACATATACTTTTATAAGGCGAGAGAACGGTAGCTTCATTTGTATTCATCTGGATTCTTACCATATTCAGAAATTTGCCTGAATAGCCTTCATATGAAAAACTGGCATTTAAATTATTAATCCTGCTGTGTCAATTCCATTGTATTATATAACAGCAATAAAAACATATGTCCACCAGGAGAACTGCACAGTACTGTGTAATTTACTCTTAATGTGAAGCCGGTTTCCTGTGAACTCAAAGGTTTATGGGGTCTCACCTAATTGTGTAACAGTTAAATGCATTATGAAGTCTAAATTTCCTCATAAACCACTTACATACAGTAAAATGTTGGTGGAGGGAACCCACCTAAGAAGATAAAAATTGAAACCTGTCTTTTTGACTAGTCTCTATATAAGAGAGCTTGCCTTGCATAAACAGGTATACAAGAACAGTCACAACCGTATATAACAATGTTTAAGATGAGAGATAATTCTTCACTTTTTAATGTTTCATCTCCTTATAAAGCTGGGTAAGCCAGGAATCATCCCTATATTTTGCAGAGGACATTTACACAGACCTATTTTTTTGTTGTGTGAAAAAAACTTTCTCTTATCCATCCTAAATCTGTTGATAAATTTCATCTTGTGATCAGAAGTTCCATAATGGAAAGAATTTCCATTTAATTTTCTACACCAGTGGTTCTTAACCTTTGTTACTCGGATGCTTTTGAACTGCAGCTCCCATAAACCCCAGTCAGGACAGCTGGTGGTGAAGGCTTCTGGGAGTTGCAGTCCAAAACTCCTGAGTAACCCAAGGTTAAGAACCAGTGTTCTACACAATGCATATCCAGTAAACTTCTAACACAGTCCTCCTTCATATTTTTTCTAAATAAAAATGATATACTTTAAAAAAGTTAGGGTGTGATCACATGAGGTAAATGTTCTATACTTCTAATGATACTTTCCATACCTCTGTTGTACCGAATTGCAGTCAGGTGGTATATACTGTACTGTATATTGTGGTGAACATGTCAATGTGTTTTTATGTTACCAATTCATTTTCTTCTATTTGAATTGTTATGGCCGGCTACACCATGGTGCTGATGTATTTTCTCTCTGCCATCAACCCCATTGGAACTATCAGTTCTCTTAGGGTGATGTGGCTGTTAACTCCAGGAGAGGATGAACACATTTTAGTCTTCTGTTTGAACTTTGACCATTCTGCTTTGGGTGACCCTGCTAGGGGTTTAGAGATATAAAAGAGTTCAGTCTTCTGGTGGCATTGCTCTCAGCTTCCCTGACACATTCAAATCCTCTTACCATGTTGAAGTGTACATCCAAGAGAGGGATGGCCCATAGACTGAAAATGTTCAATGTACATTCTACTGCCAAAGAAAGGAGAGGTCACACATTGTAACTATTGCATTTAAATCCCATGCAAGCAAAGCGATCTTGAAAATTTTTGAAAATGTTTATGATCGATGGAATAAGAAATGCCAGATAATCATGCTGGATTCAGAACAGAAAGTGGCACCTAGGATCATATTGCAGATATAACTTGGCTACTGCAGCATATCAAATAATGTTTTGTTATTGGCAAAGGCAATATCTCACTATCTGTTCGTGATATACAAAACATATACAGAAAACAGGATTTAGATAAAGGAGAAGTGAATATTTAACAAAGAAAAGCAATAATTAAAATATGCAGATGATATCTTATTATTTTTATTTTATTTATTTTATTTATATACCGCCCATCTGGCAGCCAAGGCCACTCTGCGTGGTTTACAACAATATGTCAACAGTAAAGGAAGTGCAGAAAGTCTTGAGACCTGAGGAGACTAGGAGGACAAAGTGGGGGATCAGAGAAAAGGAAAAACAAGTGAAGGCATGCATTGTGTGCAACTAAATGAGTATCCAAAATATGCATATTATGGTTGAATTGTGTTACTAAATGTTTATTATGAGGATTTTCGATTTTTGTTTCTGTGTTCTGGCAACATTAACAATTGCCTGACATGTATAAAGTAAATCCAATTTTTGTATGTAAAAGGAAATAGAATGCAGTGGGAGGTGTAAAATACTTAATTCTGCACTGAAGGCAGAGAAACAGACCTGATAGGGTCAACCACATGACATTGATTTAGGTGTGTGAAGCATTTTCTTAGAGTATTGCCTATGCAAGCAGTTGGCTATCTAGCTTTATGGGAGGTGGCAACTAGTTAATGAAATAATAGCATGACACGATTGAACTCAAAATGACAAATGCATGCACCTATATGAACTGAGTCGTACTCTCCTCTTATCAAATTAGACATGGTAACTCCTGTGAAGTAATATATCCATTATAACTTTGAACCTAATCCACTCCAAGTATTTTGCCACACCCAGCAATACCTAGTCAGGCTATCAGTTGATAACCTCTTAGGTAATACCATATGAGCAGCACAGCAGAGGTGGTGTGAAATCATGAAACTCTTTTGTCAGAGGGCACAAGAAATCTTTCCCCTTGTTACTGCTTGAACCAGAGGGTATTTTCTGTGCAAGCCCCACTACCATACACATAGCGTTGATCTCACTGGTCCAAGCAATGGATTGTGGAGCTGCAGAAGTGCACTACCTTAAACAAGAGACTACTCCAGTTTCCCCCTTTTGCAATATTTTTCTGATCTCAGTAATATTTATTTTAAAAATAAATATGAAGAAAAGAGTCTCCCCCCCCCCACCGGCCACTTTTTCATTTTTTATTGCAAAGAAGGAAACAGTGGAGGAAAGGAACTAGAAAAACACCTAAAGGATTGTATTTGAATCTGATTGCAGACTATCTGTCAACAGATAGGCTGGAGGCTTCCAACCTGCTGGTGTGGTGCCATTTAAATCTACAGAAGTACTGTACAACTTGTGTTTGGTGGCAATGTGCATTACCTGAAGTGGGTCAAGATTGCTATGTGAAGCAATTTAAAATGTATTTCAGTTTTTACCCTTTAATCTCAAGGACAGGACAAGCTTAACTGGTTTATTGTTTGCCTGTTAGTCTGCTGTTTAAAGGCATGGACTGGTGAGAAAGGTGGCAATCCTAATTCTTTTCAAATCTATTCCAGCCTTTTTTTCTGATGGAAGACCTCTACTGTATCTTTATAAGCAATATTAAAAGGTAAAACAAAATGGGGTGCCTCCCCCACTATAGGAAGTTGAAGAGACAGCACATGGTTGTTTTTAAAATTCATTTTTCTATGACAAAGGACAATCAGGGCAAAAACATCCTGGACAACAACAAATACATTTCCTCTTTGGCTTTCCTGTTATTTTCCCCGTTTTTTGCTGAGCTCTATAAAATACAGCAATTCAACTGCAAGTAGATGAGGGATACTGTGATTGTTTAGTTTATCCCTGCCACCCTACAACACTTTTGTCAGTTAAAAAAAGGTGAGGTAATCCTAATTATCACGTTTGCCCTTCTATTTTTTTTAAAAAACACACAAATAATATCCCCCAGGTCAAACAGTTGTTTATGGCTGTCCCACCAATATTCCAACTCCAAAGTCTCACATAATCATCCGTTTCTACCAGCGGTTCGAGTTTCCTTGCAATTCTTTTCACCCTGCTATTCCTAAAATCGTGGTGGTGGCACCCTTCATTTTGGTGAATGAAGGAGAGAGTACTTTGCAGATACGGAGCAGCACAGGATGGTGCTTCCTGCAGGTTGCTCCGGATTGAACTGGGAACATCTACATGCAATGCATAGCCTGCATTTCTCCTTGGCATGCCTGCCTCCCACCCCAGTATACAAGACATTTCTTATCTGGCAGCATCCAAATACAAATCCCGTTTATCTCGCCGGAGCCGAAATAGTCTCAGGCCACTTGATCCTGTGAAAGTCTAAACGGGGTCAAAGTGAATGTGTCTTGTCCTGCCCTGCTTAAACGGGTGAGGAGCCGTTCACTATAAGGCTTCAGTCTGATGCGTGTGGTAATATGATCGTGTGTACGGGCTCTGAGGCTGGCTTGACCAACCTGTCAGAAATACCACCACCCCCTACCCCTGCTCCGACGCCTTCCCCGGAAAGACTCAACGGCTCCCGCGCCCTTTTGACCCGGGCGAGGAGGTGACTTGTCAAGACGCTTCTCCTTCCTCCTCCTCCTCCTCTTCCTCCTCCTCCCCACAGTGGCCTCTGAAGAGGCAGCGGCAGCAGGAGCCACAACAACGAACACCCCACAGGCGTCATCAACGGACTCGAGCCCCGACTCCAACCGGCGTTTGACCTCCCGGAGCCATGGAAGGCACTGCTAGTAGGCGACCCCCTCATGGCGGGAACGAGACCCCCTCGCTGCCCCTCCACACCATGAAGAGGGGCTACGACGTGATGCGCTACCCATCCCTCAATAAGGTGAGCCCGGTGGGTGGGTCGGTGGGTGGT